AAGAATTCCAGTGATGACGTCAGTAAGGAAGAGAACACGCCTGTCTGCCATGTGCCTACAGGGTGCTGCTTGGTAGGCCTCCTCCCCACGCCCCAGCCCCCACCTCACATGCTGGTCAGCTCAGCTCAGCATCCGCAAGCACCACCCATACTGCCTCACCTCGACTTTGCACTCGCTGTTCCCTCCGCTGCCGGCAAAGTCCTTCCATCTGACACCCAAGTGTGTCCCTCCTCCTCCTCCTTTGGGGGTGGGCTCCAATGTCACCTGCTCAGTGAGGCCTTCCTTGACGACCCTATTTAAACATCTAACGCCCGTCACTGCTGTCTTTCTCCTCATCACTTACCACCACCTCACACACTAGACACCGTGTTGGTTGGTGCTCTGACTCACCTTACTAGAATTCAAGCTCTGCAAGGGCAAGAATTTGCCTCCTTCCCAGCACCTCCAGGGGCCCCCAGCACAGCAGGCTCGGCTGCTGCTTGTTAAAGGAATGAGGGTGTGGAAGGGCCCTCCCTCTGCACGTGCACAATAGAGGCGAAGAGCGGAGACCTCAGGACAGGCTGCCTGGCCTGTCTCCCCACCAATTACAACTGGGCACCGTGGGGCAAGTTACATAAGCTTCCGAAACCTCAACGCCTTCATTTGTAGAGAGCGGGTAATCATAGTCTCCGCACCTCCTGAGCGGTAAGAATTAAATAAAATGATGCATTTGGAAAGCTTAGCACAGGGCTTGGCATCTCTCAAAACACATTACCACGGTTATTTTTTATGGAAAGAAACCTTGAGATATATTCTTTAAGAAGTGTTTTAATTGCATACAAATATAGAAACATCTAGGGGCAACACATTAAAGTTAGCATTTAGAATAAGTATCAGGTGATCATTCCTGGTTTTCAATAATGAATTTATGTAAGCATGTGAATACATTTCTCGTAATTTTGCTTGTTCTCTGCCTCTCAAACTCTTGCCTAGAAAAGGCTAAAATGATATAAAATGAATGGAAACGATTTCAATTCCCTTTAACACTAAATACACAGAAATCAGTTTACATACAGAAAAGCAACTAAGAAGGAAACCACTTAGCATGAAAGAAGAGAAACCTACAGGACAGGCAAGTCATTACAGGTGGGATGGACTCCTGTTTGAGAGGAATTTACCCTATTAACCCACAAGAGACTGAATTAAAACAAAGGCATACTCTTTTGAAATGTTATTTCTCTTTCTCTAGAACAAAACTAAAGACCAGCTCTTTCCTGAGGTCTTTCTTTAGGCTCTGGCATAATAAGGCGGGTCCCTGAACATTCATTCTTCTTTTCCCCAGAGTCCTAGAGTACACAGGGGCCTCTTCCACACCCCACCCAGCCCTGTGGCGCTCTGTGGCTGCTGCATCCTCTGTGCTTGCTGCATCCGCATGCATCGGCCCTCCCGGGCAGGGTAAAGGACCCACAGGGAAGGGAGTACATTCCGTACAATTTCCCTCGTCCTGCCTGGCTCAGGCTGGTCCCTGGGAGGGGAGCTGCAGGTCTATCAGAAGGAACACACACATTAATCATCTACAACCTGGTGTCACCCCTGCAAGTGCTGGCAGACGTGTCTCTGAAAATGCCTGAATCGATCATGAAGTGCCTACCAAGTGGCATTAATGTGCAATAACCGTGTAAAATCATTTACATCATGATAAACGAATTTAGATTTTAAGCCAAAGGCCTGAAAAGAGAAATGCCACAGGATCTAAAGCATTCAGCTGGGCAGAAGAATTCTAATTGACCGAAACTCGTGGCCATCCTAAGGGTGTTACTTTTTTGTTTTCTTAAAATATATTTTTATTGATTTCAGAGAGGAAGGGAGAGGAAGAGAGAGAGAGAAACATCAATGATGAGAGAGAATCATTGATTGGCTGCCTCCTTCACGCCCCCTACTGGGAATCAAGCCCACAACCTGGGCATGTGCCCTGACTGGGAATTGAACGAGCAACCTCT